ATAATATAGACTAATTTTTACTTAAACCATAATAATTTTATGGCTGATTTTGAGTTCATTTTTTAAATACGGTTGTTTGAGTTTAAAATACAATTTTATTTATTTTAAATTTGTTATAATTTAAACAACCATATTACGTTTTATTTTTTCATCATTAAAAAAGTCAATTTTATTTCTTTTTATTATTTATTTTTAGGAAAATATGTTTTTTTTTTGGTTTTTCTTGCAGGCTCATTTTTAAAAACTACTTATACTTAAAATTTAGATTTGTTTTTTTTTTAGAATTTTATTTAATTTAATTTAGTTAAACATATAATATACTTACATTTGTTTTAAATATTTTTTTAGTTACATACAATCAATATAAATATTGAAGCACATGCACAGACATGTCTGGATTAAGTTTTCAGTTGTCTCCGTTTTTAATTTAATTTTTATTTTAAGATTTTTAATAGACATATAAAGCATTTGAAAATATATTTTTACTTTTAATTATTTCAAAAAGATTTTGAAGATCTTTTACTATTTTTATTTATATAATCCCTTTTGTCAATTTGTTTATAATTATGTTGGAAATTAATTTTACACTTTATGTTTTTACAAGTACCTTTCATTCATAGACAATTTCTATTTCAGAGCATTTTATTTTTTCTATCTACACTTAGGATCCTACATGTTTTTATGTACAACATTCAAAATTATTTAAAACGAATTTTAAACAAAATATAAAATACATATATAAAAATATAATTAATAAGTAATTCTAAAAATCAAAAAAAAAAAAAAAAAAAAATTGTATGTAGTACATACTAGAGCCTTGCATGAGTGACTTAAATAATAAATTAGAACTATGTTTGACTTACTCATTGTTTTATGAATGATAAAATGAATAGTATATTTGAAAATAATGACTGTTAGTCAATAGTCAGTTCAAACGATATAAGTAATGAGAGTGTTTTTCTGATTCAAGTTAAGTACACAGAAAAAAATGAAATTCAAAATCAAACAAAAAATTCATAAAGCCAAGTATTTTTTTAACTAAAATTGGACCTATCACGAAATTCGTAAAATCAAGTACTCAAATTCGTAAATTCTTTATTGAAAAAATTTCAGGATTTTTCTTATTAAAATAATATACTATTTACGAAAAACATTAATAAATATTCGCAACATTTCCAAACAATTATTTTACTTAAACAATAACGCAAATTATTTGCATTTGTACTGAAATTCAAGCAATTATTTTTTCTGAAACACATAAATTATTTATTGTATTTTGGCAATAATAATACACAAAATTCCTTATTGAATCTATAAAAATTTTGTTAATTGTTGAATTTTAACAAAAATTTTACTAATTCTATAAAATTAAAATTTGTAGAAAAAAGTACTTATATACTTACAACAAATTTATTTCACATTCTAGAAACTATTATTTGTACTGTGAAAACTGAAACACTTATACATTAAATGTTATAAACCAAGTAAGAATTATATCAATTCATTTTAGTACATCCCAAAACTAGTTTTATTGTTGTATTCCATATGCTGACATATAAATAAAACTCAAACAAAAACATTTATTGAACCAGTAAAAATATTTACTGAAAATTAAATTTATTTCAATAAAGTGTTTGTTAGAAAATATTTTCCTTCTGCGTGAAAATCAAACAAATTCGTTATAAAACCAAATAAAAATTTTTATAAAAATCTAAATTAAATTTAAGCAAACGATTGTTAAGAAAAAAAATGTGCATATTTTTTTCTGTGTAGTATACAGTGAGTGAATCGAGTGAAAGCAAAAGAAATTTAAGTTCGACAAATTAACAAATTTTTCGAATATTTCTTCGAATTTTCGAACTTAATTTCAAATATGTAACTTCTGTGATATTTTATAATTGTTGTTGCATATTCGACTGTTTAAACTATTTTATGCCTTATAAGTTATAACTCTATCCTCATATAATGACACATAATTTGATATGGGATATATGCATTGGTGACATCCCCATAAAATATTTCTTTCTGTTAGATTTTAGGATTGCCAAAGTTTGAGCACAATTGGATGATGTTAACCCGTGCCACTGGGGCCTCAAAGGTTTGAAAATATTGATTTTTTGGCAGTTTGGCGACTTCGGCAATCCATATCTCTAGAACTGCTAAAGCTATTTGCCCGAGTCATACATCAAATTGAACACCATACTGATTATAATATTTTATATTCTACTCAATAAATCCGCAACTAGTACTGAAACCGAAAAAGAGCTAATATCCCTAAAAATGTGACTAGGTATCCGTGAGAGCGAAGAGGTATCACTGGAGATCCCAAGCAGGTAAATACAAACTAGTTTCAAAATGTATTGGACAAACTTAAGATACCCCAAAACGAGGCTGTTTGCATACACTGGAATGGAAAACTACTAAAAAACAACCCCTGGGCGTTCCTGAAACTGACAGTAACTCAGGAGAGGAACAAGCCCTAGCAGTGTACGAATATCTAGAGGAATGGGGTCTCGTCAGCTCGGTCGATACAACAGCATCAAATACTGCGAGACTCAATGGAGCGTGCAATCACCTGGAGCAGATGTCTACACCACGTTTTAGAAGTTTTGTTAAGAATGCGAGTTTGGAAGCACATAGGGATAAAAACCAGACATATTTTAAAAAGAATGGTCGGCGATTAATAAATTTAAGTTCGATGAAGGCGAAAATGTTTTGGAACTACTGCCCAAAGAAGAAGTAGAGAATATCAAAGAAGAATTGCAAAGAAAACTAATGGAATGCCAGCCAGCCAGGTCCATTACAACATGCCTGGTGGATGGCAAAAACTATTTACTGTCTGAAAATACAATTCTTTCGTGACCAGTTTAAGCTGACTTCTGAAGAACAGGAGGCCCCCGCGAGTTTAGCGGCAAAACAAGACCTAGACCTCATTGAAAATCTATTAAAATACGAAAGCATTGACAAAAAAATATCAGAAAAAGGAATTAACAAAATGATAAATCACCTGTAGTATCATAGTCCTAAACATTGTTTGACCCAAAGTGCAAAACATCGTAAAGAGTCAAATGGCGACAAAAATTTTAACAAATCAAGCAGAAGAAAATGAGAAGTGCTCCAGAAATATGCGACCCAAACTAAAAACAACTGCCGAAATTCTCGACTTAATTTTTTAAATACATATTTGCTTTCATTCCAACAATTTATAATATAGAAAGGAAAATGGGTTTTTTTCACAATAGGTTCAATCTTTGCTCTAAGGGGTATATAGTCACGGTTTTAGGAACATGGGCCTTATTATCTTGAATTTAGTACTACTTACTTATTGCATATAAAATATAATAAATAGTATTGGCTTCAATTTGATGTATTACACGGACAGATATCTAGAACCGTTTTAGATATATGGGCAGGCAAAGTCGCCAAACTACCAATAAATTTAGATTTTCTAAACTTTGAGGCCCCAGTCGCACGTGTTAACATCTTTCAATCGTGCTCAAACTTTGGCAATCTTAAAACCTAACAAAAGGCGTTAGTTTCAAATCTATCCAGCAAAAACTTGGTTATGACTTGTACTTACTCAATAGCTTACTATTCAATGGTAACTTGCTACCTTCTGCATCATTTTCAAGAAGTCTAGTAAAGAATTACATCTAATCTAATGTATAAGTACTTATTTTCAGGTTTCTTACGTTAGCATATTACGCGAAAGTAACAAAGCAAAGGTGTTTAACATGACCTTCATTTCTAATGACTTCAAGCTATATAAACCGTACACGTTTTTTCATACAATTTACACATTTAAGCTTAAGGGCTTAAACTTTTCTTTGTAATAAAGTTTTTGCTGGGATGTAATCAATAAGCTTAGCTTGTCAAAATATTTGTTTATTTTTCATCTCACACTTAACAACTTTTATCGCCGAACTTTTTGAGTTTTTGGACTTTTCTGATTTCAAATGACGATATACAAATATAATGAGTGAGTTATCAATATGTAAATATATGTCTGTATATTATTTTTAATTAAATTAAAAGAAGTGGAAAGTGTCAGCATTTTCCGTAAACTGTAATTTTAAAATAATAATAAAGTGTAGATTCAGCACTCTAAAAATGAATGATTTTTTATACCAGTTCTGACATTTTAATTTTATGGCTTTTTTAAATGTTTATTAATAAAATTAAAATTAATAAAAATATATGAATGAAATAATAATACTTAATAAGAAATTAAAAGTAAATAAAACAAAAACATATTATAATATCAATTGTTAAAGGATGACAGTAAATAACTAATTTGTTTCTTATTTAAGATATTGATGCCACTAATCGGCATTATATAATGGCATCATTATCTCACGATTGAAAAAAGTAAAAGTTACCCATGGTCAATCTTCTACCATTTATATAAAAATTTATCAAACAAACAAATAATATTATTTAAAAGTGTATAATTTATAAAAATATTAATATGTTTTTAATTAATTTTACTTATTTTAATAAACAATTTAAATTGTATTAAAAAATAATAATGTAGTGTAGTGTTTGTTTAATAAACCTAAGAAAATAGAAAATTTTACAAATATAGATTTACTTATTTATTTAAACATTAAATATTTTTCTTTTTTTACACATTTTACATCCGGTCTCATCAGCATACATACTTTTAGATCCTTATCCTTATTCAAACATTCATTTTCCCTAGACGATTTCTTCTAGTAATATGGCAACTTGTTTATTTTTTATGTTTTTTATAATTTTTATGTTTATAAAATAATAAAAATGAAATAAAATTTGAAAATGCAACAGGTTGCTGGAAATTGTTTGTTATTTTATAATTAATAGTTTATTTCTCGTACTTGTGGTATTTGTTTTTTTTTTTTTTTGTAATGTTTTGTTGGTATTATTTATTTATATTTTTCTTAAATGTTTTTAACACTGATTGTTTTATTAAGCTTCTTAGTTTTTAGGAATTTTATTTCTTTTAATTTTTAATTTTCTTCATATTATTCCAAAATTTTAGAGAGGAAAAAGACATGTGTGGTAAAGGAAAAACTTAAAGATTTTTTATTAAATACAATACATGTTGTAATCTTTGAAGGGATTTATTATTGTTTTAATCTCTTATGTAAAAAAAAAAACATTTCACCTACAGCAAATACACAATTATTTTCCATTAGAATTTTCTTTTCATTTATATTTAGTATTTTTTTCTACATTTATTTAACACTCATCTATGTATATGTACAACTATTTTTTTTACAAATATTTATTTTTTTCATTTCAGTTTAATTTTCCTACAAAATGTTTTTGTTAATAAAAAAAAATTATTGTTTTATTCCACTGATTTCGAAGCAAACAAAAATTTCAATTGTTTGCCAGAATTCTTAGTTCAAGGTGTTTTGGTTGCTGTGTGTTTTTTTATTTTTCAGTAAATTTCCCCTTTTGATTTTATTTTTTTTAGTTTGCAAATAAGTATGCATTGTGGAACTTTTTTAATGCTCTAGAAAATGTTGAAAACAAATAAATAATCAATAATTTTTGGTTTCAATTTGAAAAGAATGAGTTGTAATTGTTAATTATTTGGTTTTAGTAAATTAAAAAAAATATATGTATACAAAGTGTTATTACTATTGCAACCCTGAAATACTTAAGTTAAACAAATTTTCAAATACATATTTTTGATTAATATTTATGGGTTAACAGTTCCTAGTATCACTTATAAATATATATACATCTGGATTCCACTTTCAGAGTTTCAGGTTGTCGTAATGCACCCATTTAGTTTAAGGCCAATTTCGATACAAATCTCGATATTTTTGCGACAAAGATCAATATCAATCATGTAAAAATCCTCGTAAAATATAAATTGGACATTTATTTTCGAAATGACTATTAGAATCTAGTGATGCTTTCTTAAACTTTCATTGAGATTGGGCAAATATATCTATTTTGTAAATGGAAACATTGAATATCGCTTACATCTATTTCCACTTTTTTAGTTTTGTCACTTCGGAACATAGGGAGATACTTTTCAGAAATTTTACAAATATATGTATAAACTTTTATACAATTTTTAAAAATTTCCATTCTACAATATTCATTGTCAATATTGCTTCTTATTTGTTTTGAGACATCAATTAGAGCAGTTACACAGCTGTATTTAATTCGAAAGCCAGACTGCCGATCAGTAAGTAAGTTATTATTTTCAACATGATCATATATTTGAGGACCTTTGGAAAGTAGTTCAAAATTGCTATTGGACGCTATTCACCATTGGACTTACACAGAGGGGAAAAGCAATATACACGCCTGGTACCAAATTGACATCAAAGATTTTATAATTTTTCCATAACATCCGTTGTCAAAGTATATACTTACGTACGATAACACTATGGAATGTGTTATCGTACGTGCTCACTATTGGCAACGGATTGTTTGTCAATTTCGTTTTTTGTCAGATTTCGATAACGAATTGTGGCAATGTTGACAACATTACGTTGTCAACATTACATCGTTGTTGTCGTACGTATGTATATACTTTGACAACAGATGTTATTCAGCTTCATTCATGCAGTTAAAACTGAACACGTTGTTTTGTGTGAAAGTGTCAACATTACAGTTATAAAAGTTTAGATATGACTGCACAAGAGGAAGTGAGGTAAACTTTTTTTTAGGGCTTCAACGTCAACATCTGATACAACACAAACTTTGGATTTACCAACTCCGATATCTCGCATATTTTTCCACATTTTCTTAGAATCAATAGAACACGTAAAAATCCGACTGTAGTATGCACTCTTTGCACTCTCTATCTTATTATTGACTAGTCTTCTAGCGGTACAGAAGTCATTATATAATTCAACTGTTTTAAAACGCTTCCAGCGTGAATACATGAACCATGATTTCTTTCTGCAATTCCTTGCAACTGTTTTTGAGACACTGTTTTGGAAAAAATTGTTCCAATTTTACTTCCAAAAACTTTAGTTGATCATCGATAGATGACATATAGTAAATAGATTTCCAATCTAAATCTATAAGCGATAACTTAAAATCAAGAGTGTTGTGATCAATAGTTGTATAATCATAGTACGTATTCGAATTCGCAATCTCATGGTGTTTGAAGTCAAAGGTAAAAAACAATAAGTCATGTTTAGAGAAACAAGGCACTGGAAGCTGATAATACAACAAAGCTTTCGTACTATTACCAACAAAAAATAACATCCAAAAGCAAGTTCAAGGTGGAAGAAAAGTGAGTTGGCTTCTTTTAACAGGTTATTTGAATTATAGTCTCCACAAATGACAACATCCTCAAATTGTAGTGAAATATTCTTAAGAACATGGAAAACAATGGTAGTATCAATTCTGCGATGTGGTCAGTATACACAGCTTATCAGCATCTTGTTTCCATTGGTCACTAGATGCAGAACTGCAATACAAATTACTTTTTATACCCTTCCTTATATACATAGCCATGCCACTTGCATGGGTCATATCGAAATAAACTAAAGTTCTCTAAGAAGAATAGTGAATCTGGATCACATTGTTTGAACCATATTGCATTTACGTAATAAAAAATTAAAGTTACCGATTCCAAATTTTTTATGGATGAAGTATATTACAATGTGTTATAATTCTCAAACAGTTTATGTGAATTTCGATATGAGAAATGTAAGAAAATATGTATATAAAAAAATATTCCTAGGTTGCAATTAATAATTTAAAAAAAAAATATAATTTTAGTGATATTCTTGTAATTAGAATTGAAACTGCTGATTCTTAAAAACCAACTATATATAATATCCAAAAGGGGTTTACAAAACTTATGCGTTCTTTTACATTAAAACTTAACTCTTCGAGTCAAAAACACATTTAAAAAACAAAACCTTTTCAATTTACTAATTCTTGGAATATATTCATCTATTTTCTAAAGTTGTTTTTATTCACTCGGTGGGGTTTATTGTTTTTTTTTTTTTGTTATTTTTATTCACTGGGAAATATTTGTCACTTGTTTAACCCACCTTCATTATTTTGCCCCTTTTTAGTGGTTGTAAGTATCTTTTTGTTTGTGTTTGTTTTTTTTTTTTTGCTTTTGGCTATGTAAAAGTAGATATACATACATATGTATGTATGTATTAATGTATGTATGTGTTAGTTTTTAGTATATATTTATAATCTCATATCTAATCAACCATCTTCTTCTTCACATCTTTTAGAGTTTTACAATTTATACATTTTCAAATTCCTTAATGTTGTTGTTTCAATATTCGCCAAAGTACAAAGATAATCGCAAATATATGCAGCCATAAATTATGGATTTTTGTAATGCGATTGTACGATGGTGCCAATGACGTCGCAGACGATGGTGTCACACCATTGCCTAAGGCCGCCATTCCAATAGTAGGTGTTGTTGTTGAGATAGTAGTTGTCTCCGTACGTCCAACATCCACTGGATTAAAGAGAAAGGAAAAAGTAAAGAAAATTTTGAGTTTTAATGTATGTATTTTTTTTAATAAAGTGCTAAAGTAAAGTAATACAATATAAGATGATATTATATGTAAAAATTTTAAAGTATTTATTGATGTTAGTGAGAGTATTTATTGGATAAATGAGCTTCTTATAATATTTTAGTAACGTTCTGAATAAAAAAATATTTTAAACTACTTGCCACGAAATTCTCAAAAAGAAAAACTCTAATTTACATATTTTAAAACAAATTTCATTGCACTTACCCTTAATCGAATATGTTTTATAATCCGCAAACTGTTCACCGGGTCCTACTGCTGATGGAATTGTCGAGAGGCATGTCAGCTCCATACGGCCATTAGGACCCACATGTTGTTCTGTCAACTCAATGTTTAATTGGCTCACCGAAAACATACCTTTCTCTTGTTGGGCTTCGGTAACAGCGGCAGCTGCAGCAGCCACTCCACTGCCACCACCAGGATGCGACAATGGTCTGCCGTAACTGGCAGCAAATGCATTCATGGGCCCAGCATTCGGAGGTATACCCAGTTCATTATTCATATTGGGTGGCTGAGGACCAAATCCACCACTATTCAATGTGCTGCGTATAATGCCAAGAGCATTTTCATTGATGTGACGACGATATTTACGACTTGAGGAATTTCTGAAATTACGGAAACAAAATGTAAAAAAAGAAAAGACATTAAATTACGCAATGGAGAAGTTATTTATCAACAAGACAGCAACAAATTGGTTTAAGAATTAAAATTGTATGAATGTTTATTTGTGTTGGTTGTATTTAACACCTCCATACTTCCTGTTACTCGGTACTCACGCACTCCTACTCCAACATTAAACACATTTTTATGATCTCTTTACTTTTGTACGTATATGAGTTGGGGGGCTTTTTATTACTTATTGTATTGTTTAAATCAGCGTATCGTCGAATCACGTAGCAATTCGTGCTAAAGTGTTGCACCAAAGTACCCAAAACTCATACTATCACTCGCATTGTTTGTTCAATTGTTAATAATACGTAAAAGTGCCATTTAAATGTTATAAAGACAACAATGACAACAGCAAATACACAAACACTCACAGAACAATTTTCATCAGCAAAAAAGGATAAAAAAAGGAATCATTGAATGGGCGATTTTTTTCACACTTATCATTGCAACAATAACAAATATATGTGTGTATGTATGTATCCAATACCAGAAGCCGTAGCAATAAAAAACAACAAACAGACGAACACAATAACAAGTGTATAAATAAATAAAAATCATAAATATTTACAGTTTATGATTTATACAGCCAGCCGAAAGAAGGAAGGAAGTTGTTGCAGGCAACACTTGCTCACATTTCATACACAAACCTACTGCGATACCAACAACAATGTTGGCGAATTTGTAGAGTCATTCAACAACCAAGCAAGCTGAGAGGCAGACACTCGCACATCGTTAAATATTATGAAAAGTATTTTATTTCAACCATTTTTTGAATATTTTTAAAAGTGCAACTATGTAAACAGATACATTTTATTTATTTTTGCCACTTTTTTTGTGGCGTTGCATGAGTATATAGACAACAATAAAATAAAATTTGTATTGTAGACTAAGTGTTGGTTGGTATTCTACGAATTGTTTGTACTAATCATGTACGAAGCAGTTTCATTGATATTGATCAAATTAAATCATGTAATGATAATTTACTTTTAAATAAATTTACAAAAATCAAACCTTTTAATAACATAACACAAAATATTTCCCATATTAAATAAAATTATATTTTTTATAAAATTTTTTATAATTTGAATTAATATGTCACCTCATAATTTTCTTACTTTTAAAAAATGCACACTCATACAATATATTGAAATCTCTTTTTTTCTGGAGGGATTCAACGGTGTTGATAGCGGTTCAGCATAAACAGATATGTATAAAAAAACATTTATATGAATTTTTATTTACTTAACTTTTTTCTAAAACAATTTGCACCCCTTGCTAAACTGTTATTCATATATTTTTATACCCTCCACCACCATCAGTGGTGATAGAGGGTATATATAACTTTGTCATTCCGTGTGTAACACCAAGAAATATTCATCTGAGACCCAACAAAGTATATATATTCTGGGTCCTTATGAAATTCTGAGTCGATTTAGCTATGTCCGTCTGTCCGTCCGTCCGTCCGTCTGTCTGTCTGTCTGTGTAAAACACGCTCACGTTAAAACGAAGCAATATAATTTAACCAAATTCAACCAAAATGAGCAAAATCTGTTCACATTGGGAAAAGTTATGAATCAAAATTCAAAACAACCTTGAAAAAAATAAGCATTTTTTATACATTCTGATGTAATTTTCTCGAAAACTATGCAAGATAATTTCATGAAAGTCATCATACGTTCGTTTCTACACAAGATATTTATTTCTGCTGAAAATTGCCAGCATCGGTCCATAATTTCATATACCTCCCATACAAAAGTGCATATTCCCGGAAAATGAGTTTTTGTTAATAACTTTCGTCAGAATGTCGATATCTGCACAAAATTTTACAAATTAAAATCTTATGTTAATAGAATGCATTGAGAAAAAAAATTTTCTGGATCGGTCCATAATTGGACATAGCTTCCATACAAGGACCCTTCCCGAAAATCACTTAAACGTGCATAACTCATTACAAAATTAAGATATCCATATAAAATTTGGAATAAGTATTACTCATATGCACAGAAATATTACTTGAAAATTTTTTTCCGATCGGTCCATAATTGGTCATAGCTCTCATACAAGGTCCCTTCCCGAAAATCAATTAAACACAGATAACTCATTACTAAATTAAAATATCCATATAAAATTTGGTACATGTTTTGCTCTCACATATATAAATATTACTATTAAATTTTTTTCCGATCGGTCCATAATTGGTCATAGCTCCCATACAAGGTCCCCTCCCGAAAATCAGTTCAACGCACATAACTCATTACAAAATATTGATATATAAACATTTAGCACAAATATTGCTCTTATATACATAAATTACACTATAAAATTGTTTTGCAATCGGTCCATATTTGGTCATAGCTCTCATACTAGGTCCCCTCCAGAAAATCACTTAAATGCACAATATTCATTACCAAATAATGATATAGATACAGAATTTTGAAATTTTGTCTTTATATACATAATTGGTCATAGCTCACATACAAGGTCCTTTTACGAAAATCTCTTAAACTCACATTACTCATTACCAAATAAAGCTATTGATACACAATTTGGCGCAAATATTAGTTTTGTATACAAAAATTATATTTCAAGATTTTTTCACGATCGGTTCATAACATGGGTGCGGTCGGTCCTATACATGTTTCCCTTCAGAAAATAACATAAATACTCATAACTTATTACAAAATTAAATAAATCTTGGGATTTTTTCTATTTAAGACATGAGAAAACTTATTTCTACAAATATTTGATCAATTAGAAAAGTATTAATATGAAAGTAGCTGGTGGAGGGCATTTAAGATTCGGCTTAGCCGAATATAGCACTCTAACTTGTTTTCTTTATACAACCTTTTTTGTGACAAAGTCATTGTCTTTATACACGCACTACTTCACTAAGTAGTTTGTTTTGTTTTAAAATGGGAAAAAAAAAACTCTTAAAAACTGTGGCATTTTAAACTCTACTTGGCTTTTATGTATCTTAATGTATATATATTTGCACTAACACTTACGCATTTAGCCATTACTTTATAGATTCTCGTCCCTTATTTTAGCTTTTCTAGTTGGTGACGTTGCGTTAGATTACCTACATATCCAGTGAAATGTTAAGCAGGTTATTTGTACTACAACCTGGCAATTATGCCGGATGTAAGTTAAACTTTGTTTATAAAGTTGTACATGCACAGTTATTATCTTACAAATATTATACACATACATACATACATATGTATGTATATACATATGTTAGACATACTCTTAAAAAATTAAGAATTTATGTAAAATTTTATGAAAGTATCTAAATTTTTATATGATTTATTGACAATAAACTGATTTCATGTAATGGGGTAGAGTATCATATAAATGGCCATGTTCGTTTTAAAGTTGTTTTAATGTATATTCACTTCATAAAAATAGAGCCAACCTAATATACATACTTGCATGAATATGCATTTAATATATGGAAAAAGAACTAAATTCGAGCATGTTGCTGTTAAACGTACAACAACTTCTACCAAAATAAAACGGATATTGTTTTCTAGTTCGTAAAAAGAAAAAGGAAACTAAAATAATAAACAAGAACAAACATGAAATTCTGCTAAAGAAATTTTGATGTAAAATACGATTATTTTACATGTATGTATGTGTGTGTGCATACACATGAATATTTGTTTCAACCTTTATGAATATTTTATGCACTTCTTTTTTTACACTAAATTGTGCAAATTATCATAAAATTTTATTTCTATAATGAGTACATCCTTCAAGTGAAATTGCTTAATATAAGGATGTGCATATGGAAAAGTTTTTATCCTTATCAAAGTGTAATTTGCTTACTTATTCATTTTTCTTATAAATTTAAATATTTTATTTTTTTTTTTTTTGGAAGAGTGGGTATATTAGTTTTTTATTATTTGATGATTAAAATACATATAATTTAATGCAAAGATAATGGATTATAATTTTTGAAAGTTATAATAGGTTGTGTATCAATTTGGGTTAGTTCACCCACATTTTGATATTAAAACTTTACTCCGATGATAATCCTAGTGTAGGCACTAGGGGGAAATGAAAAGTTAATAATTAATATTACATACGAACATGCATATTTATTTTATTTAAATTAATTAAATTTTTTCACAATTGCCCAGGGTTTATATAACACATAAAACCTATATTGAATTATTATGCTTTTAGCCTTAGTCATTTAATTAAGAAAAAGAAACGTTAATTCTCATAAAAATTCAAACACTAGGTAAATTTACTTTCTTCAAAAACGTTTTCCATTTTCGAAGTAAAACATAATTTCTTAATTTAAATGCTTCAGGCAAAACACGTTTGCAATTCAACAATACGCATTATTTTCAATTGTTCAACGATCTGAGTTACGACTCGTTCATGGTTTACGATGCGTATTCAACACTTAATTACAACATAAATGTTGCATTTGTATTTGAGTATGTGTATATAATTCTGTAGTTCTGTGTGGCAATCCCATATAAAATAATTTTCCACTCATTTATATATATATATATAGTTACTACACTTCAATCATAAATGGTCAATTAAGTCAACAATAACATATAACTTGCGCTGGGAGAAATAAATACTTTCCAAGGTGACACTAATAGTTAACTTCATCTCTTAATAACAAAAATGAAAGTTTCAGATAACCAATTGGTTAAAAAATGTTAATGGGATAAAATGATTCCTTGTAAAACTGCTGGGTTTATGGTACATTTTCACATTTAAATGAATGAATTTACGTTCTGCAATTCTATTCACAACACAACTCGTAAGAGTAATGCTATGAGTTTCTTTGTTCGAATCCCTAGTAAGTATACAACAAGTGAGAGTGCTATATTCGGCTATGCCGAATCTCATATACCCACCATCAAATCTTAAAAGGTATGCTCCTCTTTAAAAGGAATGCTCCTCTATAAAC